AGGGAAAAGGAGCAGGGCTGTGCTGGCAGGCGAGGGAAGGCGCACACAGCTCCCAGCACCTGCAGCACCGGGCCCTTCAGGAGGGAGCGTTTCCTTGGCTTGGCTGCTCCACCTTGCTCATCCCTCCACACTTGTTTGTCTTCCTCCCATCCTTGGGTTTTCCGCTGCTTCCTCCCTGCCCAGCGCTTCAAAGCCCCGCTGTCCTTCCAGGCTCTTCATCCTATCCGTGTTCTCCACGGGCTCTCCGGAGCGCAGGGCGGGCGCCGGCCTGCGTGTGGGCAGCACAGATTCATGACGAGGGCGAGCGCTGCCGCCGCAAACCGCTGCTTTCAGGGATCATTCCACTCCACTGGCTGAGAAGAAAACTGCTCGGATAGAAACTATGTCATAATAGTCGGGAACTGGATAACAACGCCCGCCGCCAGGGCTGATTTATTCTCCTGTGCCAGCGCGGGGAATTGGTCTCCACCAAAGCAGAAAATGGAGCCGGCTCTTCAGGAGAGTTTAAAATCAAACGGCTCTGGAGTCACCACCTGATTATTTCAGTAATCTTTCTGCAGCCAAGCCTTTCCCTTTCGTTCTGGGCGGTGCTGTTCTGCACAGCAGATATCCCACAGGATCAAACCAGAGCTCTGTCCCCCCATCACAGTCTGGCTTTGGTTGTCAGCTCCCCACGGCGGCACCGCTGGGGCTGGGAAGGTGCCGGTGCCTCGCAGAGTGACCCGGGAGGAACTGGTGATGCTTAAGAGCAGCGGCCCAAGTGATGATGAGAGGAATGGCAAATGTTCTGGATTCACTCAGAAATCAAGAACATCTGCCTAGGTTTGCTTTGGAAATGGAGAAGTGAGGGGCTGCTTGGGAGCAGAATTCCCGCTGGGCAGGGTGTGCCAGGCTGGAGCGACAGCCTGGCCAGCACCTCTCGGGGCTGACACCCCTGGGAAGGGCTCTGGACACTCCAGGGAATTAGTTTAATTCTGGGTCTCCAGTTTGATTTTCCAGAGGAGCAGATGAAGCCATAGCAGAAATGACCAGGCCACGGAGCTCGCAGCAGGTCCTCCTGCTGATTCCCAGCAGTGTCCTGGCTGGAGGCTGTTGGAAAGTGGTGTTTTGCCATGATCCAACACCAGCTCACCCGGATGCTAAAGCAGTCCTTGCTTCAGCAAGTCCTTGCTCCCTTTTCCCAGCACGCTCCACGCAGCCGGAGGTGGCTCGTGTGATAAATGGACAAGGTTCAAAAATACAACTCCTCTGAACTTTTTAACCTTACACGAAAGGGAGGAATTCTAAGAGCAATGGATAAAATTCAATTAACTGAGATGACAGAAAATAATCTACTAAGCGCGTACATCAGGCAATTGGAAGCTTTCATACCTTTCAAAAAGGAAATAACCCATTTCTTTCCTTGTTATCTAATGACACAGGAGTTTATTTCTCTGGAAGCAGTTACAAATCTACCTAATGGGGCCTAAATGCTGTTGCCAGGCAATTAGGGGTTTATTGTGTGGCTAAATCTTTCATTTCCGTGGCGGTGATTAAGGTGACAGGGGAGCTGCCCCTCGGCCACGTGTGTGCCTGTACCTGCTTCTTTGGGCAACCTGTGCCAGGGCCTCATCGCCCTCACAGGCAAGAATTTGTTCCAGACACCTAACCTGAATTTCCCCCCTGTCAGCTTGAAGCCGTTCCCCCTCATCCTGCCACTACAGCTCCCGATGAAGGGTCCCTCTCCAGCTTCCTTCAGATCCTGGAAGGCTGCTGAAGTCTCCTCTGAAGGCTGAACATCCCCAGCCTTCTCAGGCTGGAGGAGCTGAGGAACTTTCTCCTGTGGGAATGTGTGTCTTGAGTCCCCCCACTGTGCCAGCCTGCTGATAACGGCGCGGCGGGGTTTGCACTGTGCTGGTAATTTCCCTTTTGGTGTGTTTGCTGCCATGACTTATTTGGTGTCTGATCCATGAGTTATCCCATTTCTCTGAGCTGATTTTAAATGTTCCTGCGCAGTCTTTGTACAGCCCGGGCAGCTTTTGGTTATGAATGAGCACAGAGGCACACGCAGGGGTATTATTTATATAAAATATATAAGCAGGAGGAATCTTCATAAATCACAAACTGCTATTATCCTGGGTTTCATGACAGCCATATCTTTTTTTTCCACAGAAACCCAGAATACATTAAACACCCCGGGCCTTGGAAAGGGACCTTTCAAACCTGTACAATTGCTCTATTTATCCCATTCCTAGAGCAGGCAGCATTTAATATCTGAAGTCTGTTCTATACAAATCAATCTTAGAAGTAAGATTTGAGCCAGAATTTATTGAGGGAAGCTCGTGTATCCGCCTGTAGGGATGTTGTGGTTTATAACCTAAGGAATAGGGTGGTTAATCCTGGAGGGAGAGCCTTTGGAAAGCCGTTTTACACCGGGCTCTGCTGGCCATCTGGGGCCTGTTTTGGGGAGCACTGGGACACGTGTGGGCAAGGCTGTGCCTGGCCCAGGATGCTGCAGGGGGATGAGAGCTGGGCTGCTGTGGAAGGGCCTGGATGCTGCAGGAGCATCGCTGCCCTGCGGTGGCACCTCACTAGATCATTCCAGAAGGCTCCTGCTTGGGCTGCACTAATCAATAGCCGTGCCCAACAGTTTACTACAGCGTTTAATTAAACAAATTTACCTTTTGAGGGAAAATCCATCGCAAGCAATTTGGGTCCTGGTGTATCACAGCCTTTTTTGAGGTTACTAGTGCTTTTAACCACTGTCTAAAGTGCAGGCGGTGTTAATTAGCATATTTAGGATTAAGTAGATTTAGCATGCAGTAATCATTCCCTAATTCAGTAAGAACTATCTCTGGTGAATAGTGGACATTAATGACAGTTGCAAGAGCTTAGATATTACATAATCACTAATTACATTCTGCACAATTAGCGGAGACTCCTCAGTGTGAATGGCTAATGGCTGATTTGTGTCAGCAGCCTGTTCTGGCTGTACAGAAATATAAACAGTCTGCATAATGTTCCAAGGGAATTAGCATAGGGAAGGGGGTTATCCATGGAGCTGGGAGGCTGGGAGGAGCGCTGATGGATGGGGTGAGCCCAAGGACAGGGCAGGTGTCTGGACACATCCCTGCCCTTCCTCACCGATGACCTGGCAGTGCCACCTCGTGCTTTGAGGCTCTCGGCTCTCACCGGGTGGGTGGAGGGTAAATCTGGCACCAAGGGGCCTCCGAGGGAGTCTGGGGTGTTTATTGTCTGCTGAGCCAAGGGGTGTGGGACCCTAATCTCCTTGGAGACCTCGGGCTCTGTGTTTTGGGGAGCAGCAGAGGGCCTTCCCTGGGCAAACCCTACAGAGGTTTGGGCAACAGTGAGGTGGCAGGAAGAGGAATCAATTCTTGCTCCATTGATTTTTAGTGATGTTTGGATCAGGTCCACAGTTCCTTATAAGCAGAATTCAGGCTCCCACGTTTGTTGTGTGATTAAAATGAGGAATAGTGGTATTAAGCTGAAGGAATTGTTTTGGACAAATCCCAGGCTGGAGACCAGCACTGGGCCCCTATACCTTGAGGTATTGGGTATTTTAAATTAAGATTGCATGTGGTTTTAAAAGGCATTGTCAGAGCAAAAGCAATTTAACAAAAGGCAATGTATCTGACGGCGACTCTCCTGTCTGCCAAGTGCTCTTCTCCGCCAGCGCATTGTAGGGACGCAGATTACATCTCCTGAATATTTTTGTCTGTTGCTCGGTTCATTTTCATAATAATAACTCGCATCCGTCTCCATCCTTTCATGTTGAAGGGTTGCAAACTATTACACAAACAGACCCGCTCCTGCTGCAGCCACCTCCAGGGGACAGCCGAGGGGACAGCCAGCGGCTTCGGCAGCAGGAGCGGGGAGCGGCTGCCCCGGGGGGATGCTGAGCCCAGTGGCCTCTGGATGGGGGGCCCAGGGGGTTCTGGGGAGCCCCATCTGTAGCACAGCCCAGCCTGTACCACCAGCACACCCCAGCCTGTAGCACCAGCACATACCTGTCAGTGTGTGGCTGTTGGGGAAACCCGGGCGGGCGATCCCCATCCTGCCTGCACAGGGGGGGACCCACAGCGGGACACAGGGTGCCCAGAGAAGCTGTGGCTGCCCCGTCCCTGGAAGTGTCCAAGGCCAGGTTGGATGGGGCTTGGAGCAACCTGGGCTAGTGGGCATCCCTCTCCGTGGCAGGGGGCTGGACCAAGGGGATCTCAAAACTCCCTTCCAACACAAACCATGCTGGGATTCTGGGATTCTGTGTCCCAACAGCAACACCTCGAAGCCCTGGGAACCCCTGTGAGGCTGCTGGGCTGCCTCTGCCCCAGCACACAAGTAGCTCTGCTCAGTTCCACATCACCAGGCAGGAAGGACTTTGAAAGGGTTTATAACATTTGTAATGTTGTTTCCCACCAGCAGAGATGGCAGAGTCAAGCCTGAAGATATTGGCCCTGGAGTGCCTTGTGTAGAACTCCATATTTTTATCTGGGTGGGGCGGGCAGCCGGGCCGATGTGAGCGAAGGCAGCCCCGGAGAGCAGTGCTGGGGGTGAGGGCAGAGGATTTGTGCCCGATGTGCCAGGGAGGAGCAGTTCAGTGGGGCAGCTGCAGCACGCACAGCGTCGTGTTTAGCTACAGGTTCCTCAGACCCCAGTTTTCAGTGTCTCTGATGGTTTTTCCCAGTGTTCTGGCACAGCCCAGCACAGGGTGTGCCGTGCCCTCCCCGCTGCTCCTCCAGGACCGGCGCTGGGGGGCTGGACATGAGCCGCAGGCCCTGGCGTGGGGCAGCATTTCCCTAAGTGCTGTTTGTGGAGGCAGGTGCTATTCCTTACATTATCGCCAGGACATTTAAATCTCCCTGATTGGCATTGTTGTCTCAAAGACGGTGTTTTTCCTGCTGAGAAACTGCATTAGATCGGCGAAACGGAGCTCATTTCCATTCACTCAGCAGTCTCTCTAGAAATGACATGCAGTGCTTGAAACTGTTTATTTCCAAATTCAGGCCTCCTCCGCATCAGTCATCAGCTTCAATTACCAGTTTTCCGGAGCCGAGCCATCAGGCAGTCTGACACGAGGGTCCAACCTAATTCCCACCTTCTCCAAAGTCAAGAGCATAATGTGCAGATGAAAAGGTGGAAAATAGCCTGGACTTCATTAGCATGCAGAGCCCGGCTGTTCATTTGCTTGCTGCGAATGGAAGTTCTGACACTCGGCGCCTTCTGCAATATGAGAAAAGTCCTCTTCAGAGTATATGATGTCCTCACCAGCCAGCAAAGGTCATCAAAAAGGCAGGCGCTGACCTTGCTCCCTGCTCTTCATGACTAGTTTATTGATTCCAGGAACACCTCATTACATGCCGGATCAACATATTATTGCCATGTTCAGCGGCTGAATTGTTTACAAGTGTCTTTATAACCAGCAGAAAGCCTTCCGGATGATGCATGACTACACTCATTTGGATGTGACCTGCCAATTAGATGTTATCCGATACGGTGCCGTGTGTCTTGATCCCTGACCGGGCCCGCTGCCCCGCATCAGCACGGGCCCATTTACTACTTCTTTCTAACGGCTCTTTGGGAAAGTGTCCATTAGCCTGTCAGTCTGTAAATATTTTATTTTTGTACCTCGGCGCCGCCGGCGCTCCCGCTCCGTCATTTGCGATGCATGAGGTTCATAATCAGCTGGGGGAAGCGGGGGTGTTTTATGGCTGCTGATAACCCACCCCATTTGCAGTCAGCGTGCGCGGCGAGCGCTCCCGAGCCGCGTGCCGGCCCGGCGCACACACCCGGCATATTTTATTCAGGCTGCTGATTTATCGGCGGGGGGAAGGCAGGAGGGAACAGCCCCACCCCGTCCCCAGCCTGCCTTCCCCTGCCTCTAAAGGCCACATAACTTACCACCCAGCAAATGCACGCCCCCCTTCCCCATGCACTCGATGGTTTCATTCCCCCCATGAATACACGGCCCAGACGCTCATCCCGGCGGCTCGGGGAATTTACACGCGCGGGGACACCGGAATTCCACAAATCAATCACACAGCACAACTACTGTTTTAATCTCTCATTACAGACACTTGTGGGGCTCCATAACACAGAGAGTGGCACGGCAACTCGATGGGAGAGTCCGTAAAGAGACATCTCAGTGCCAAAAAGCGGCGCTGGGAATGTGCCTTTCAGGCACCCCTTGGGACAGGCTGGATTTGCCTTTTCCCGCCTCAGGGTGCATCACCCTGAGATGACAAAGGAAATCCCGGATGTGGCTGAGGTGGCAGTGCCAGGATTTCCATGGTACTCGAGGCCTAGCAAATGCAGGCGCACATAGAGCTGTGCCCAGAGCTCTGCAAACATTAATTAAACTACCCAGCGCCGCTTGGCAAGTGTCAGTGCTGAGATCCTCATGCTGAGGTTAAATCCAGGGACCAAAGGGGCTTAAGAGCTTCCAGGGTGAACCATCAACACCAAAGATCTCCAGTGTCCTGCACTGCAGAGCCAGTGTTGCTCAGAGCGAGGGATGGCCCGTGCTGGGTGACAGAAAGCACCTGGGTGACAGAAAGCACCTGGGCGTCTGGTTCCCTCCTTACAACATGCAGCATTCAGGCATCAGGGCTGGAAAAGGGGGATTTGAATTCCTTAAAGCAGCACGTTTACCTTCCAAAATAAAAACTGGGTTTGCATGTAGTTAGAGCTGGGGCAAAACACAGTCTCAGTCTGAACAGCCTCAGGCTCCAGAGATGGCACAGTGCATTGATCTCAGTTTTGGAAAGGAGGGAATAAAAGCCTCCCTTTCCTGGCGAATCCTTGGGTCTGGGCAGCCCTGGAGCTGCCAGTGTTGAATATTCAGAGGGCTGATTCACCATGGTGAATCATGGCACTGCAGCCAGGTAACACTGTGCCCAGCATGGGCTGGCACAGCAGGAATTGAACCTGTGAGCTCCAAATCCCCACTGGGATCTCCACCTGGGGGCTGGGATCTCCCTCCCGCAGCAGAGGTACCAGGTCTTGGCCTGGCCCACAGCACCGTGCTGAGTCTGGCATTATTTATGCTGTGATAAGGCTGCAGTGGTTTATCAAGCCCCAGACATCCATCCAAATTTGGCACCTGATCCCTTCACTTCTGTTTACGGCCCTATTTCTGGATTCCTGCTTGTGGTAAATTCTGTCTTTAAATGGGAGAGAAAAATCAGCTCTTTACGACAGCAAACATGAAAGTTGCGTGACTATGGAGAGGAGCATTAACCTTTCCTTTAGCCTAGAGAACTTCATAATCTCTTTAAAATCAACTTTCTATTAATTTTAGAGTGATGCTTAATGCCTGAAGGGTGTGAGGAGCCATGGCATCGCCAGGGGAACTCTTGGCAACTGTAATTTAAGGTCAGGCCTGGGGTGCTGTGGGAGCCACGATCCTGCCCTGCTGTCCTGCCCCACTGCCCAGGTCAAGTGGCACCAGGAGGGGCCACAGCCCCCCCACCTTGGTGGCCTTTACAGGAGGCACCTTAGCAGAAAATTTAGGTGGTCACTGCATTTATTCACGGCACCCAGTGTGCAAATTTAATTTTCCTTCTCGTTGCACTCCAGCAGAGTAATTGGGCAGGGCAGGGCAGGAACAAAGGACAAGGTCAGTCACTTGTCTGGCAAATGGAATTACACGTTGCTCCGAGGAGCAGTTTGGAAACCACATTCCCTGGCTGTGTCCCACCAATGTCAAAGTCAGAAGAGATGAGCAGGGCAGGAGAGGTGGTGGCCAGCCCTGTGTGTTCGGAAGGGCTTGGGTTGTTTGGAGCTTAGTGATGGTGCTGACAGCATTGAGTGCTTATGGATGAGAACCAGGGACAGGTACCCTGGTGGGAGGCTGCTCTGGACCCTCAGCCAGGATGGAGACACAGCCAAGTACTCTGTAAGCAGCTGAGAGAAGCCTCACAGCTCTTGTTATGGGGGACTTCAACTTACCAGGTGTCAGCTGGAAATAGGGAACAGCAGAGAGGAGACGGTCCAGGAGGCTCCTGGAGTGTGTGGAAGAGAAATTCCTGACTTGGGAGGCTGAGGAGAGACCTTATGGCTCTCTGCAGCTGCCTGAGAGGAGGGTGTAGCCAGGTGGGGCCGGTCCCTTCTCCCAGGTAACATGTGACCCCCGAGAGGGGAAACAGACCGGCCCCATGGCACACACCAGCCTCTCCGGAGGGGGGGCTGCAGCCCCCTCCACATGCGGGGATGGGGGGTTTTATTAGTTACTGCCAGTTAGTTATTTTACATATTGTCACTGATGGGGTTTTGGTGCAGGGAGCTGCTGATATTTCAGGGATCAGGAGGGTGAGTGTCTGCCGTGCAGCTGAATCCCGGGACAGGGCTCCAAAGCTCCGGCCGCCGGTGCAGCCCTCGCTGAGTGTTCCCAAACTGAATAGTCATTGGGTTGGCAGATAATTCAGAAACTATTTGTATGAGCTGTTTATCAAATTATTAACTGCACAGATGTTGTTTGGTTGAAGAGCAGCTGAACCTTCTCTCTGCCAGCCGTGGAGACAAAGGTCTGCAGGAATAATTGGAGATGTGCATGGAATATTAAACTAATTTACTGCTCTTAATTCTTATGCAAATCCTGACCTCTGATAGAGCCTATCAATTACCCTGCACACAGGGAAAAGAAAGGAGAACAGTTTCTTTCTTTTCTTTTCCCCCCTCTCCTTTTTTTCCTGTTGTTCTCCAGTTTGGGGTTTTGTTTCTTTTTTTCTTTCTCCCTTTTGAAAGGGAACTTGGGAAAGGAAATATTTGGGGCAGGAAAAAAGCCATTTATTTGTGGGAGAAGCAAAGGGTTGGGGTTATTTAATTGAATCTCCTGGTTGCAGCGATGTCCCCCAGGGAGTCCGGGTGCAGTCTTTAAGACTGGGGCACCTCAAGGAAGGCCTGGGAATGGAGGCCAGAGCTGGGCTGGAATAGCTCCACACACTTCCCTAGGAGGGGCTGGAGGGCCCAGCTCTGCCAGCACTGTGTTGGGCTGGGACAGGACTGGAGGCTGGGTGGATTTTGATGAGACTGGGGGCAGGAAGGGTCCAGCTGGGGGTTCGGGTGGGTTATCGGGAAGGGCTTCCCACCACTGGGAGCCAGGCTGGTTCTGCCAGTAATTACCAGGGAAGAAGGAAGGGAATTTGTTGTCACATCTATTGTGAGGTGCCAGGTAAAATGAAGCAGGATTTAATTGGTCCTCGTTAAACAGAGCTGGTTTTCTGGCAGGCAGAAAGGCCTGGTGCGGGCAGTGTTTAATTGGGGTTGTGTGCGCTCTGCTCAGCCAGCGCTCAGAGGAGCACTCCGGGCCCTGTGCTTTCATCGTGCTTTCTAATAAGGATAAAGAAATAGGATGAATAATGCCAGGGTCTCTCCCTCGACCCCTGCAGCACAGCGCTGTTCCCCCTGAGCCGCTCCCCGATATCCGTGGATCCAACACGGGTGGGATCCCTCGGCGAGCAGCAGCCGGCGCAGCCCCCTGGGCTCCGTTAGCACGGGAAGAGGGGAGCAAAAGCCCCACTTCCACAGCCACGGAGCAGCCTGTTGGGGCTGGGATGGGCAATTCCTTGGTTAGTGATTGTCAGAGTGGAGCACGAGGATGGGGATGGGGCTCAGGGCGGGGGAACAGCAGGGGAAAGAAGGAAAGGAAAAGAAAGGAGGGCAAAGAAAATTATTTTTTTCCTTTTTCTTTTTCTTTTTTTTTTTCTTTCCCCTATCTGTAAATCCCGGGAAGCACTGGGAGACTGCACTCCCCCTCCCACGCAGCCCACTCGGGTAATTTCATTTATCCCACAAATCTAATTAGCAATCCGTGGCTGACATTAATACGGATCTAATGAGGCCGGCGATGACCAGATTTGCGGGCGAGCGCTGACAGAGCCTTAAAGGCACATCGCGCCCTGGCATCGGCGGGACCAGGGCAGGGAAAGAGCTGCTTTAAAGAGGGGAAAAAATGAAGGGGGAAAAAAAGGAAAGAAAGGAAATTAAAAAAAAAAAAAAAAAAGAAAGGCCGAGGGAGGGGGGGAAAAACACGAAGAAAACCCCCGCGGGTCGGGCTTGGCTTATTAAGGAAACTGGAGCTTTGCTGGGCGCAGCTTATCCGACAGCATCGGGCCTCCGTCCTGGCTTATCCCGAAATAATGTTCTTCAAAGGAGAAAAAGGAGGGGGGGAAAAAAAAGGGAAAAAAAAAAAAAAAAAAAGGAAAGAAAGAAGAAGCCAGAGCCCACGGCGTCGCTGTGCAATTTATTCCGAGGGGTGGCTGTTGAGAAGGCGGCAATTTGCGGCGGCCGGGGGTTATTTAGTGCGATATGAAATCAAATGATCCTATTGCTCAAATAACAGTGTCTGGGAGGAGAAGCGAGCCCGCTCCAAAGGTAATTGTCTCCAGATGATATTCCCATTATCCCCCAATCCCGGCCTAAACGCTGCCAGCGCCAGGCTGGAATCGATACGGGGGGAGGACCGGGGGGGTCCCGGGGCCGGGGTGAGGCATCCCCGGCACTGACCCCCCTCGGGAAGGGCGGCAGGGCTTTGGGAAGCTCCTAATTCCCCGTGGCTGCTGTGTGTCCGTGTCTCGGCGGGAGCGGCCGACACCGGCGGGGGAGCCGAGCCCGGAGCCAGGTAAGGGGACCCTTGGGGGAGCGGGGAGAGAAACGCGGCCCCCTCGCTGCCCCCTCGGGCACCGCTCCCCGGGCGGACCGTTCTGCATCGCTGTCCCCCGCGGGTCCGTGTCCCCCGCGGGTCCGTGTCCCCCGCGGGTCCGTGTCCCCCGCTCTGACCGCCGCTCTCCCGGCTCCAGCCCCGCCGCGCTCGGGCACTGCCGCGGGCACTGATGGGGGGGTCCGCCCCGTTCCCCGGGAATAGCCGCTGGAAGAGCAGCGGGATCCGACCGAAGCGAGGGGTTCGGCACCCCCGCCCCGCTGCGGCTTCACTTTAAACCCCCTGGCTAAGGATGGAGCGGCGGCCCCGCCGGCCGCGGCGCTGCCCGGCGATAAAGTCGCCGAAATTCAATGTCTGGAGGGAGAAGAGGGGGAAAATCCAAGGGGACGGAAGGCGGTGAGCAGGAGGGGGGCGAGGCCAGCGGCACGTACCTGGGGTCGCCCCCGGGGCGGGGGGTCCGGGCTCGGTGCGTGGCCGCTGCGGCAGCTGGGACCGAGCGCTCCGAGCGCTCCCCGAATTCCATCGGTGCGTCCCCCGCGTCGCCCGTGGCAGGACGGGCTCCCCCGGGCATCCCCCTCCGGCCGCCCGGAGCTGCGGGTTTTTACCTTTCTTTGGCAGCCCTCACCTGGGCGGGCAGCGCGGGCAGCGCGTCCCCGTTCCTTCGGGCACGGAGAGTAAATGTGCTCCTGCAAAAGAAATAATGAGAGTGCTGCCGGAGTGAGACTCGGGGCTGCTGTGTCAGGAGAGTCCCGGCTGGTGCAGCCTCTGTGCTCTCCGGAGGCTGGAGCTTGCCCTGGCCAGGTAACAGCAGAGTTACTGTGCTGAACGAAGGGGGCACTCCGGGGGGGGCGGCAGGAGGGGAACGCTCCAGGTCAGATGCCCCCACCCCGGGTCAGGTCCTGATAGAAACAGGGCACAGAGCACCCTGGAAGCCACTGGGAGAGGCTGGTATGGTGTGTGTGTGTCTGAAAACGGGCAAAACATTTGGGACCTGAACCCTGTCAGTGAGCCCCAACCTCTGCCCCCCTGCATGTCCACCCCATACGCATCTTGCCTCGCAGGTACATCAGAAATGCATTCTTGAACACTGTCAAAATGCACTGTTGGAGGGTTTTTCCATCTCTGCTCGAGCCATTTTGCCAGGCTTGTACTGAACAGAGTTCAGGGCCCCAGGGATGCAGAGCACTGAGCAGACACAGCTTAATTAATTTAACAGTCTTGTGCTTTTCTTCTGCTTTTTTCAAACAAATGAACGGTTTTTATGTGAGAATCTTTTCATTCACCACCAGAACAATCCTCTGCACAAGACAGGGGGAAAATGCTTAAGTAAGTCACAGCAAACCAGCATGGTGGTTTGGGATGGGAAGTGAAAAATACCACATCCACTAGCAACTGGATTTGACAGAACTAGAGGATTTGGGGAGGCAGCGTGTGGGCATTGCCCCAGGTGAGCCCTGGGCTGGCTCCGCAGGCAGTGCAGCTCCCCCAGCCCTTCCCAGGTCGGGGCATTCAGCTCCAAGCCTTGGCAGAAGTCAGGCTCAAACAGGGGCAGCGGCCAAGCAATGCCAGGGAGGAGCTCGGGGTCCCACGGCCCGAGCTCAGGGCACTGCGTTTGTCCTCCCCCTGTGCGGCCCTTCAGCTTATCTGCTCCCTTCCATTTCCCAGAGTCGCTGTGGACCTGCAGGTGTTTGTGCTGAAATACAGATGCCTTGAAGAGGCTTTGAGGATTTTGGTTTGAGGTAGTGAGGGATTCTCCAGGGACTCTGTGTTTGCCAGTGTGTCCCGAGCTGCCGGATCCCCTTTCCTGGCCCCACGCAGCACCAACCTCACGGCTCGCCCAAGAGCTTCCCTTTGTTTCAAACCCTTGGAGCCTGGAGCACTTGTTGAACCTGACAAGTGCATCAAAGTGGCTGACAATTAGGAAATAAACAAATATCATTTGAGGCATTTTGGAGCAGAATCCAGTGTTACATAGACTGGCTCGTTGCTGTCGTTATCATATTGAATATTAGCCATAGTTGTGATGTTTGTGCTGCACAGCAGCGTTCCCAGCACGGCAAACACCACATTATCTCACTGTGGAAAGGCTTCATTAATCAGGCCAGACAATAGGCCAGACACATCCCTTTGAGCCCAGCGTTTGGATCCTCCAGGCTTTTCACCTTGTCCAGATGCCTCGTCCCTGTCAACGCAGGCAGCAGCTCTTCAGAACCGCTCGCTCGAAACTGCGGGGCTGAAAGGGAAACATTACCTGGTTCAGCTAAAAGAATTCCCCAGTTATTTTGTATTTGCCCTTTAATTTTTCATGACTTGTAGAAGCAAAACTTTTTCAGTCTTTCAATCAGCGTGGGAGATGAATCCACTCATTTGTTGAAATGCTAATGAAAGAGCCTGATAGATCTGTGTCCTTTAAAGCAGCAGCAGCAGCAGCAGCAGCAGCATTCAGACCGAGCAAGATGGATTGGCCTGGCCAGGCCGTGGCCTCGCTGGCGGGAGCTGGGGAGCGGCCAGCGGCGGGAACAGCGTGGCTGTGAAGGTGCCTCCTTCACAAAGAGGATCCTGGCAAAAGCGTGGCTCAGTGCAGGGCACTGCACGGCAAAGGCAGTGTTGGTGCTGCATGCCAGAAATGTGTTGGGTGCAGAGTCTCCCCTTTCTGTCCCTGCAGCACCGCGAGCGCGCGGCCGCGTCCCTCAGGCACGGAGCTGGCAGCGGGACGCTCTGGCACGGGGAGCCCTCACAGGGTTGAGCCTCCAGAGGGATATCCTCTCCCAGATCTGTAAGGAAGGGGGTAACTCGTGGTGCCTTGTGCCAGGCTGTGGCACCTCAAGCCGTAGCTGAGAGGGACCCTCGTCCCTCCTGCCGTGGGACCCCAGTGGGCACTTGTGGCATTGAGCTTGGCCCTGGATTAGTGAGCCATTTCTCCTGCTCTCTGCTTGGTTACTGCAGGGCTGAAAGAGACATTCCATAATGAGACAAAATAGTCTTTCTTGCACAGAAATACACCAGAACTGGTTCAGCTTGAGGAACAGGAGTGAGAGGAGCGGTGGCACACACTGCTCTGGGGTGTGAGGCACAGATGCTTTCAGAGAAGATGGGAATTGAGCCCTTTGGCTTTGGCTGGTTCGATTCAAATTCAGCCTCTGGGCTCACATCTCAGTTCAGTTTAGTTCTCAATTTTGTTCTCATTTCTCCAGGAACAGGGAAGTGCAACACAGTCAGTCTCCTCTTTCCTCTTCAGACAGCAGCAGACACTTAACCTGGGACTGGGTAACTCCTCTCATCTGCTTGGACACAGGAGTGTCTGAATTACTGGGGAAGCAGAGAGACCCAAAATCTCCCTGACATCCTCTCTGGATGCTTGGCCTTGGAACAGCCTCAGTCAGGCAATTTCTAGCTCCCTTCTGCTCGTGGAGTCTCTTGTGCCACACAGGAGACTGGAAAAGCACTTGGAAATGGCTGAAGGGGAGGGATGCTTCCTGGCAAATGGTCTCTAAACCAGGCCCTTTCTGTGCTGTGGCTTTTCTGGGGCTCACCAACAACACGGAGCTGTAAACAATGGTATGTGCTTGTATCTCAATCCTCCAGGATTAATTCAAAATCCATGGACAGTGATGGGCCTGAAGGCTTTTCAATTATGTCACCAGGCTTTGGCTAGGGCCCTGACACTTTTAATAAACATTATGTAGCTTTAAGTGCTGCAGGCTCCAGGTTTTTGTTTAATCAGCCGTTGGGTTCTGCGTTCCAGGTTGGTGCTGGAGGAACTCGTGTGGCCCGCCCTGTGGCAGCAGATGCCACCCGCTGCAGCCGGACACTGTGTGTGCTGTTGGTGCGTCAGAAACGAGGAGAAACGGCTTTCAAGGAACTGTAACATTTCATAAAAGCATTTTATTGCATTTAAAGCTATTAAAATGTAAACCTTACATTCAACACGTTAATTGCTGTTTCCAGGCATGGCCACTGACGGTCGGATCCTCTCAACTGCTCTGCTGCGGTCGCTCTCTGATTACTGGTGTGTTATTAGTGCTCTGTGTTTGGGACCTGAGTCATTAACAAAAAGGGCTTCTGTGGGCATTATGTAAACTTGGTGTATGTTTTGACAACGCTACCAGGGCCTGTGTTGGGGGTCTAATTGAGAAGAAGAAAAGGAGGTGTGCCCTGACTTTCTGGGTCCAGGGGGCTTCCTCCCTTCCCTGGCTCTCAAGCAGAGGCTGGGGCAGACTCTGCAGATCCACTGCTCGGGAAAATCAGCAAATCCCACGCTGGGGATGCCTGGTAGATGAGAGGCCAAGGGTGAGACAGGTGGATGATGTGGCACCTGGGGAGGAAAAGCCTGGAGGAGACAAGCAGGGGAGGAAAAGCTCTGGCAGAGACCTTTCCTTCTCTCTGTGCCGTCCCTTTTTCCCCCTGCAGGTGAGCCCCCCCGGGCCAGGTGCTCAGCTCGGTGAGGTGAATCCCGCACCTTTCGGGATAGGGTTACATCCCAGAGGAGAGCAGGATGCTAAAGGACACGTGGCTGCCTCCCTAAATTAAACAGAGTGTAAAGCTGTTAAGATTAGTGCACATCAATCCCTGCTTGAATCAAGAGATGCTTTGGTTTGGCAGCTACTGGGGACAAAAACCACCATTTCATTCAAAGTGTATTTAATGCGACAGAAGGAGGCAGATTCCTTTGACAGTTTTACTGCTCTTATCAGATTACATCAAAATTAAATTAAAACAATCTAAAAGAAGTGTGAAGTACTGCAGGGAGAACACAAACAAAACACTCCTCTTTGTAGGCTTTCAGGGACAGGGACCACGTTCCTTATCAGGGAAAGGAGGAATAAGATTATTCTTGAGTCAATTATGAGCCTGTCTGTGGGATCAGCGGCCACAGTGAGCACTGAGACATGAACAGAGCGGGGAACACATCCAGGGAACCAGGCTAAGGCTCCCTATTCCCTTAATTTTTGTTACATAAACAGCAGGGTGTGGAGTTGTTCTTTCCTGACAACACCCTCCAGCCTCTCACATCTACTCCATGGAGCGAAAAAACCCTCCCAGGGCTGGGACAACCCCAATGGGTCAGGGAGCAGCCCTTTTCCACCAAAACCTGGCATCACTGTCTGGGGATAAGGTTTCCAGCGTGTTAATACAACCTGCGCTCGGCATTTTAGACAGCACAGAAAGTGCTAGGAAGTTTTGTGCTACTTCAGGTATTATTTTAGCAAGCACAGATATTTTCAGAAGCAGTTGAGTCTCCCAGAACCAAACCTGGTGTGTGGCTGGGACAGGCTGAAGGAAGTTGGAGTCTTTCCTGGCTTTGAAAAATAACAGAACTGTGGTGTGGGACAGTGTTTTCTTGTGCAGCCTCTGGCAGTTTCAGCCCTGGCACTCAGCGACACCTTAAAACCTGTGTTAGTCCCACAGAGAACATTTCATGGCTGACACTCTGAAATAATAAAAATGAAATAATAAAAAACCAAATAGTTTGTTTTCATGTAGATATTAGCAGTGAAAAGCCTTCTGGAGGGGCAAAAAGCAATTTTGACTCTAAGGCAACCATGAAAGCCTTTTTATTCCCATTTTATCAGCCCCTGGGACTAAGGGAGAACCTCACGCTGGACCAAGGCTTCAGGGAACTCGTATCCCTACATGTGGCTCCCAGGTCTGCACATCCATTGCCTGGTGATCCCTGGAGCAGGAAAGCTCTGACCCCAGCCCAAGCCTTGCCCGCCTGGTGTGTTCTGAATAACACAGTTATTTATACCGATACACAGAGGTGAGCCAGGCTAATCTGGGGGCTGCTGAGTCCCACTGTATCCATTCCACACAGCTTTTTACACTGAATTTGAGTCTGGTGGAGCTGAGCTGGAGGCCGAGGGTGTTGGAAAACTCCAGGAATGCTGCTGGATAACCAAAACCCAGCTGAGGAACCCACCAGGTCCAGCACAGGCAGAGCCTGCAGCTCCAGCTGATGCTTTCATGTGGCTGTTGTTGGCCAGAAGATCTAAGGAAGGATAATTATGATGATGATCTCGCACTAATTGTACACTGATTGCTGTTCTAATTACGCTTAAGCATTTCATTGCTCTCCGCAATTTTGTCTATTGATGTAGCGTTTCTCCTTAATTTCAATTACTCCCGTGGTATTTAGACTTTATTGGGGCACTGGAATTCAAACGCTAATTTGGCAACTTCCTTTCAAAGGGATTGAAGTTTTTATCTGGAAATGAAAGATGAGGTTTTTGTTTTCATTCCCAGCTGGAGATGGGAACACTGGGGGGCTTGTCGGGGTCGGAGGTGTGTCGTGACTTCTCCCACATGGATTTTGGTGAGGTGCCATCACCAGAGGAACACAATGGCACTCCAGAGGATGAGGAATCAGGTTTTTTCGTGAAAAATGCAGCATACAATAAACTCAGGGAAATCCGCTGCTGGAGGAGGGCCGTGTTACTGTAACTGCTGAGCAGCTCCCGGATATTTTTGGCATTGGTGCTTTGCAAAGTCCCTGTTTCCCCATTTTCCGGGGGCACAGATCCCCGCCTCGCCCCAGCCTTCCTCCAGCACCAGGCCGGAGGCTTGTTTGGGCCCCACAGCCCCGGGAACAGCAGCAGGTGAGGTCGCAGGTGATGCTGCTGACGGGATGTGGCAGCGGGAACGGACAGAGGTGGAGCGAGCGCTCTGCATCTCAACACTCCTGCTCTAGCAGCGCTCTCTGACCTGTTTTAAACCCTCCGGGGCTTAAAGAAATGCCCTAAAAGCTTTACCCGAGCCATAAACCCTTAGCCACGCCCCGCGGGGTTTAAAGGGCCCTCGGGGGGCGCAGGCCCCGCCCCGTCCCCATGGCAACCGCGGGGCGGCACTTCCGGGGTCCCGCGCGGGGCAGGCCGGGAGCGGCACGTGGGCAGCGGCGGGACCGGCGGGACCGGGAACACCGGGACCGGGAACACCGGGAATTCCCGCGGCCCTGCGCGCCGCCGGCACCCTGGACCGCCGGCGGGACCGCCATCTCCGGCACCGCCTCCCGGCACCGCCGGGCACCTCCCGCGCTGGCACCGCCGGCCATCCCCGGGACCGACCCGCCGGCACCGCCGGGCACCGGGACCCCCGGGACTCCCGCGACCCCCGGCTCCGCAGCCTCCGCGACAGGTGAGCGGCCCCCGCCGGGTTTGAGCGCTGTTGCATCCAGCGCGGGTGACTCCGCGCAGGAAGGTGCGGCCCCTCGGGTGTGCCGTGCCCCGTCCCGTCCATCCCCGGGGGTGCCGGGGTACCCGGGGTACCCAGCCCGGCCGGGGCTCCGCTGGTTCCCTGCAGCCCGCAGCGCGGGTAACGCGCTCCCGCTGCCGGGCGCGCTCGGGCTCAGGTTCTCCTGCCGCGCCTTTCTCGTCTCTGAGCGGGGTCCGTGGCGGGTTTTTGGGCGCTGCAGGGGGTGGGATTCAGGGAGAGGCGCCTGCCCGCGGGGATGGGGCTCAGAGCCCCCCGAGAGCCCCGCGGTGCTCCGGCAGTGCCCGGGGCTGCTCCGCCCACACCGCGGGCTCTGCCCGGGGGTCCCCTCGGCATCGCTCCTGGCGTACGGGTAGTTTGGTGTCTCACAGGAGGCTGGTGCTGGGGCTCAGACATTGGCACTGCTGTTATTTCTAACGCCTCCCGGGCCCTGAGGATCCAAACTTGCTCGTGTTTCTACAGAGCTGCTGTGCATCACTTCGCTAAGAGTCCTGTTGTGCTTGGACCACCCTGAGACTCGTGCAGAATCCGTCACGGGACCTTAAATTCCACTGCAGACTTTGTTTGCTGTGTTTCACTTCCCAGTGCTGGCACTTTGCCCCCTGTGAATGCAGAAGTGCTGCGTGCTCAGGTCACCCTGCAGGAGGGTGGGATCCCTGTGGTGTGCAGCATCACCAGGGGTCAGTTCTGAAGAGCCCGAGGTAACGAGGGAATTGGGGCAGGGAGTTTCTCTCCCATGCTCAGCGCACCCCTGACCCTGTTGGGGTTGCTCAGCACTTGCTGTGCTGATTACTCAGCCCTTACTCTTGGGCAGCTGCAGTGAGGAGGGCAGGGTTTGAGTGCTGTGGGCATGGAGTAAATGAATTATGCACTGAAGTGCTGTACTTAACTCCCTGAGTAACTGGGCAATTAGAGTAACTGGGCTCAGCTGTGGCAGCCAGGCCAGGTGCCTCAGGTGCTTTGGGTGCCTCAGGTGCTCCAGCGTTTGCAGGAAATGTGCACCAATGCTGAGGTGTCCTAAGCACAGAGTGGGAACCAGGTAGGGCTGCTCCATCAGGAATACCTGCTGGTGTCAGCTGTGTGAGGAGGAAGCTGCCAGACAGGCCCCCTGAGGCTCCAGGCTGGCAAGGTGGGAGAGCTTGAATTCTGCTCCCAAATCCTGAACTAACTGTCTCTCTGTAGACTGAAGACTCAGGGTTGTTTGAAAATGAGCTGCCTGGATCCCTACAGAGCTCTGCAGTGGCTGTTTTGGCCCACTTAAACAAGAAGTTGTTTTCTGACCGTGCCATTTTGACCTAGTGCAGAACTGCAGGTAACACTTCCAGGCAGGGGGCTTTGGTTTTCCCACGTAAAGAAGGAGGTGGTGGTGGTGCAGTGGAGTGGCCAGAACGATCCCTGGGCTTCACTTGAGCCACTGACCAAAGGAACTGTGGCAGAACCTGGGCAGGTGAACTCTGCAGGAGTGTTTGGGTGGGCGCTGGGCAGAGCTGAGCACGGAGCCCCCCGGGCTGTGCCAGTGCCACACTTGGGCACCCAGAGGGACTCTCTGATGCCAAGAGGGGGAATTGTACGGAGGGATTCCCTCCAGGAGCCCTTCCCAGGGGATTCCCGTGCTGCCTAAATGGCTGCTGCAGACAGATGAGTGGGATGCTGAAAAACCTGGCTGGCAGGGAGGGAACAGACGCTGGGGAGCTGAGGAACGTGATGTGCCCCCTGTGGGATGGGAGGGTGGGAAGCAGGATGGGAACCAATGGCTGTTGGCACCCACTGGCCTCCCCATCCATCGGGATATCCGTGTTCTCCACTGAGGCAGCACGATGATTTCGAGAAGTGTAACAACGAGATGCTGAGATCTGGGTTTGCCTGGCTGCCTGTTGTGTAGGAGGGCACTGAAGGGATGAGATCCCGGGTGGAGCGTGGCTGTTACACTGTGTACAGGACATGAAACCCTGATCCTCTTCCAGGCAGTGCCAGGATCAGATGGGTAAAATGGACACCTTTATCTCTCTGGTGGAGCAGTGGGAAGGGGTTTTCCTGCCTTTGCTCTGTGCAGGGAGACTGGGAAGTGGTGTGTTTGTGTGTAGGGAGAGCCCAAATCTGTGGAGAAGCGTGCCCAGGTGTATGGACAGGTGATCTGCATCTGAGGTTTAATAAACTACTTGGCTGGCACATGGAATCCATGAGCTGGGGAAGAGCTGAGCTGCTTTGGAAGTGTTTTAATGTGTTGATCTGTCCCTGTGAGAGGTTCTGGGGAGTTGTCCTGGGAACAAGTCCAGCCAAGTATTTCCTGCATGGAAAGGGGTCTGCTGTGGGGTTGTGTGGGGGAGGAAGGGAGGGGTGAGCTCAAGAACTGCCCATCTCGGGGTCCAGAGCCCTCCCTGGGGCTCCAAAGGGCGGCTGTGGCCGGGCAGGGTCTCTGGCTGCGTGGTGGTAACCCCGTTCCAGTGAGGAACAAAGAGAGATGGGAAAGCTTTGAGGTGTCTGCTTTGTGCTAAGCTGGGCTGGCAGATCGGTGTGTAACTCCCAGCAAAGCTGAGCTCTCTGCTCACCAGGGGCTGTGCTCTGCAAAACGCTTCAGTTCTGGCATTCTGGACACTTTAAACAGTGAAATATTTTTATCTTACTCTGTGTTGTTTGTTTTCTTGCAGTGAAGCCAAAAGGCTGGAATTAGAAAGGCAGCTGATGGAATACACAATGGCTGATCCATACCTGTAAGCCTATTTAAAATGTCCTTGGAGGTTATTTTGTTTTAAAAAGATGGCCCTGGCTCCCATTTCCCGTGTTGGCAAGAACGCTGTGTGGCTGCCCTGGTACCAGATAAGGGGATGTGAAAGGGAATGTTGTTTGTAGGTGGGTGAGAACTGGTTTAGATGGATTTTCAGTGCCTGTTTTGGTGGCACCATGGATTTAGGCAGCTGTGAAACCTCCGGCTTGCTGTGGCTGCTCGTGTGACTTCCAGGACACGTTCCTCCAGGTGCAGTTTTCGTTTTGATTCAGCGTGATACCAGAACATAACCCGCGTAAAACACACGTACAGGGGTGTTTTAATACATTTACCCTCTGGAACACCAGAGCCCCTGTGTGAGCCTGCAGGGAAGTGGCACACCTGTGTGTATACGTGCAGAAGAAGGGGTGTTTTTGGGGACCCGGGGGCAGCTCCCCTGTCAGTGTCGCTGTGCGTGAGGAGAAGTGAGTGCAACAGATGCCTCTGTGTTATTGTTGTGCTGTCTAAGTACAGTTTCTCCTTCCCCCCAGGGCCAAGGTGCAGTCCCTGGAGCTGCAGGAGCGCCTGGCAGCGGTGTCCGAGCGCCAGCAGTGGGCTCTGCGGCGGAACCGGTCCTACCGCCGGGAATTCCGCCGGCTGGAGGCGCACATGGAAACCACAGGTTTGGAGATGATTCGGAAGATGGAAGTAACTTTCTATAAGACTTGATACATTCTTTAGTGTTTGCTGTTGTTGTTCTAGTAAAGAGATTTCTGTGTGTCCTGGTGCTTGAGGCAAACTCGATCAGGATCCCTCTTTCAGGGTATAGAACAGACGGGATCTGAAGTACTTCAGATTGAACAGACTGCTATAAAAAAGGTCAAGCCCTGAGGACTTCTTAACAATTATAATATTATTATTATCATATTGTCTTGCTGTTCCCCAACAAACCATTTGGGATGTGGCAAAGTGGTATCGTGCCGTGGTGATTCCAGATTTTTAAAAACGGAACTGCCATTTGTGCTCTTGCCACCAATACGTGGAGCCAGGTTTGAGTGGGAGCGCAGTCTGGGAGGGAAATGAGCAGTGGCATCCTTCGGAAACATTTAGCTATGTTTATTCCTCACACAACAGGAATGCAGGTAGTGCCTGTTTGCATCTTTTCCTGGCTGTAGTGAACCCAGAGTTCAGACTGTGGAGAGGGTGTGATTCCCCTCCTCAGATTTTCAGTTGCTATTTGAAGCAGAGCAGGAGGAGGGCTGTGCCGTGATCCCAGCTTTGCCCTGCTGGTTTCAAGGATTTTTTTTTTTTTTTCTCAGCAGCCCTAGTGCCCACCAGTTTGACCAGTGGCAGGTTGTGGTGGTTCTGACACCCTGGTGTGAGTCCCAGTCAGGCCAGGGGTCAATCTGCACGTGGGATTTTGTTCAGTCCTTCCATTTTGATGTTCCTGTGCCATCCATTTCATCTTTCCCAAGTTAGAGTTATTTTTCTGAGCTGCTGAACAAATGACACCTCCTCCATGCTAGTTATGAAAAGCAGAAGAGTTATGGAGCATGTAATCATTTAATCTATCATGGGAGTGCACAGAAAGAAATTATGACTGTTTTCTCTTTTTTTTTTTTTCCATAGAGAATGCCCTTTAGGAGTGCTTTATCACAGCTCTGGGCACATTTATTATGTGGCTGTAGCTCACAAAACTTCTTTTGTTTCTGAAAGATGCACTTTTGTTCCC